TTTCATCTTTATGTAATGAGTCTATATACTTATGGATCGACATTTTGTTAAAATGTACTGACGGTTACAAGAAAGTCTTAAATCGGTTGATATTAAAAATATCTACTTAAAATAGCACAAATATTTTTATTATGTTAAGTTTTAATTCATTTAAGTACACATAAATCACATTCAAGTTAAACTTTCTTTGTTCTCAAGCTTACTTAAATCTACCTACATCAGGAAAAAAAAAAAATGTTAACATTAAATTTCACTAAGTTTTCATATTAAATGGGTTTTTAACAGCTTAAATAGTTACAATTAAGGTTAATTCATCTACTAACATCCAGCAACTTAAGGCCCCACGTTGGGCGCCACTTTATAACACTTTTTTAGGGCGTTACTCACCGGCTACGGTTGTCGGAGAGTTAAGGGACTCGAGGATCAAAATAAAAGTATCCCAGGGCGCCTGTTGTTGGATGATTAGTAAATGAAAATGCTAAGTTATATATACAGACAAAAAATAGTTTATTTCCTTCTACGGTTCACATATATAGCTCCAAATATCAAGTTTTCACTTTAAAATACCCTACGAACTGAGGTTTTGACTAACCTGGTGGATTACACAATATTACACTGTTTATGGTCAATCCCGCGAAGCAGTGAGGCAACAGATATCCTCCAGGTGTACGCCGGTCGCGGTCTCCTGGCCGCCCAGTCCCAATATAGCCACCCGTTGAAGCTGCCTCGCCTCGTTCACATTGTTGAACTTGATAATGGACCATACTCAAAGTACGGACTAAGGACTAAGGACTCAGGACTAAGGACCCAATTTATGGGATGATGTGTTTCAACACATTAAACTGCCCGTAGACATTGTGTTTAGGGGGCCGTACGCCCAAGTAGTCGTCACTTTAAATTCATGTTCCGGCGTTTCGATTCAAAAATTATATATGTGCGTGTCCGATCATTACAACGGCTCGCTCCAAAAAGAACTAGGCCTCCCTTGGGCTACACGCCACCGTCGATCCGTGGTAGGATTTCGAACTAACACGAAAGGTCAATTGCATGCAATTAGCTAGCTCGATTCGTCAATATACGTTTCTAGTTACTTCGGACTAATGACGTTAGATGGCGCTCTGAAGTCTGTTCATCGCATGTAATAACGTAAATATGCTAAAATAATGTACACGAAAATTTTCGTGTTACATTACTTCTGCTACTCGACACTAGAGGGCGCTAGTGGTAACTAGTATTGCCATGTACAAGACATTAATAGTGGCGCGCAACACTGCCCCCTCCTAAGACATGCTCGTCCCGAGCATTATTGGCCCCATAATAACGCGCCAGTCGATCCACATGGACGATCTTAGGAGTACTTCTGGCACCTTTCTGTATCCGGTAGGTTTTGTCATTGATCCTTGTCACAATCCGCTACGGTCCGTCCCATTTAGCTTGAAGCTTAGGAGATCTCTCTTTGCTGCGAGCTGGATTGTGTAACCACACTAGTGAACGTTCGTCAAACCCTTGTTCTTTTGCGGTCATACCGTGTTTTCATCTTCTCAGACGTTGGCTGGTCTGACATGCTCATAAATGTCATTAATTTTGTTCCGCAAGTCATTTGCTTAATCGGTTATACTGCGTGGGGCATTAGGTGGTATTCCGGTGATCAGGTTTGCAGGCAGCCGTAATTCTTCCAAAGTTTGCGAAAGCTGGTGTCACTGATGTACTTTCGTGAACAGCGCTTCGATATGACAACAAAAACGGTTGTATGTGCTTGTACCAGTCTCGTTGCCGTTTTTCCACAACTTTTGCTAGGTACCTCTCCAATGTCGGATTAAATTGTTCTATCAATCCATCAGATTGTGGGTGGTAAAAAGTTGTTCTTGTTTTATGAGTACCCATAACTCGGCAAGTTTCCTGGAATATTTGAAACTACAAATTACTTCCTTGATCGTTGTGAATCTCTAAAGGTACTCCAAAACCACAGACTTCATAAACTAGTTTATCTGCAACTGTTGAAGCTTCTTCATTTGGAATGGCGAAGACTTCTGGCCACTTAGTGAAGTAATCCATCACAACCATGAAATGCTTGTTACCACTTTCACTTTCCAGAAACGGCCCCGCAACGTCAATGGCTATCCTCTCCTATGGTGCACCAACATTGTACAATTTAAATGCGCCTCTACTACGACTTTGAGGTCCCTTTAGAGCCGCACAACTTGTACATTTGCGGCACAAGTCCTCGACATCGTCACGACAGTTGACCCATAAAACCGTTCTCGGATCTTCAGTAGAGTTCGTTTAACTCCCAGGTGGCCTCCTGGGACTACATGGTACAGCTGTAGAACATCCGATACTTTAGCCTTAGGGACAACCATTTGCAAATTACATTTGTCTCCCCGACCATTTTCCCATTTACGGCACAGGACTCCATCCTGAATCAGCAAGCTGTCCCATTGAGGCCAATAGCTTTTCGTGGTCGAACTCATCGCTGAGACGTCGCTCCACTTGGGCTTAGGATCACTTGCCTTCATCCATTCCAGAATCGGCTTGATGTCATATAATCTTCCTGCTGTGCATGTTGTAGGCTGTCCTTTCACTCATTGCTGAGCTGGTCTGTCCTGAGCATCCTCACAGATACCACTGACTTACCCTCTTACCTAGTACAATGCTTGCAATCTTCAGGGCAAGGTCTTCTTGACAATGCATCTGCATTGCCATGAGATTTCCCGCTGCGATGTTCGATTACAAAGTCGTATTCCTGCTGCAGCTGGGCGGTGCTGTTAGCCACACTACTCTCTCGAGATCAATCACCTTCCCTTTCTACAGTTCGCTTAGGGTAGCTGGATCGAAGATGGCCCATTTCCCCACAGCCGTACCAGCTAGGGCTGTATCCTTTATTGATACTGAACTGTAGCTGCTGCAACCTCCCTGACGCGATAGGAATGATGATCCTGTCGCACGGCTTCCACCTCCAGTGCATGGGCCAACGCATCCTTAAGCGTCTCGTGGTACCCGAGCCTCACAGCAGCTCTGACTTCAAGGTCGTGGATGCCGTCGATGAATGTCTGCACCAGGTACCATATAGTGAGCGCAGGTACAGACTGGTATGCTTTTCGAACCGACTTTTCCACCTCAAGGGCCCACTGCTGCAGGTTTTCGTTGCTGCGTTGCACGCGATCTTTGAGCTGCGCACGAAAGACGTGTTCGAGGTGAGCGTCGCCATATCTCGCCTCAAATGCCTCAAGGAGCTGCTCGTAAGTCACTTCCTTACCGAGAGCTTCCAGAACAGTTAAGGCCTATACACGCAGGCCTAGGGTAAGACCAGACCAGCCTGACTTTTATTCCAGCCGTTCGCCTTCATGACAGCCTCGAACTGGATTTTGTAAGCCGACCAGGAAGAAGTCCCGTCGAACGGTGGCACTTTGAATCGACATAGCGAAGGTGTTGTAGCTACCACAGGAGCTGTAATTCCATCCCCAAGTTTGAGGTCGTCCAGCGTTTTCTTCATATCAGCCATTACGTTGTCAACCCAATTGTTTACTTGGTTGATTCGGGTTTCAGCTTCCGACAGGCGGTTGTCATGTCGAACAACCCTATCCTTCACCTCCCTTATCTCTTTCCCGAAGGTAGCGTGAAGGTCCTTCATGAGGGGCATCTGCTCTTCCATACCGCGCTGCAGCTGCTCTTCCAACCGACGGGCCTGTTCCTCCAGTCGGCTGGCCTGTTCCTCCTGTTGGCGGGTCTGCTCCTGCAGCATCATCATCAGACCACCTAAGTCAGGTGCTGCAGATGCAAAAGCTGCTGACGGGCCGGCCTCCGTGGTCGGCAACTGGCCCTCCGACGTCTGTGCCGTTGCACCACCAAATCGTCTCTGGTCCGTCTCCTGTTGGCGTTGACTTCGGGTACGAATACCCTCCGTGTCGTCTTTAGGTAAAATCGGCATGATTTGATCCCACTTCTGACAATATGTTAGATTTAAAGTGTATTTTTGTAAAAGAAACGAATTTAAAAACATGGAGGTGCTCTCTTATTGGATTTGACGTTTCGCGATGTGCCTTCGATGCCGACCGACCAATCATATGCTATTATTATAGCGTCTAATAGACCTAGTGACGTCATTCAAGATGCTATCAATGTGACTGCTATTTGAATTGATTCTTAGTTATTGGAAATTTCATGACATTTCATTTCATTGATGACGTTATTCATAACTTAAAACGTTTAAATAAATTTTTTTTGGTGTGATGGGAGTCATAGTAAATAGATTTATACAATAAAAAAAGAATGCATATTCCCTATTATTATATCGTAAAGCATTACAAACTTAGTAACCTTCAACAACATTATCGATACTTTGGTGTCGAAACGGTAACATTCCTAAAACGGGATTTTTACCCTACATTTAGTAGCGTCACCAACTGGCTGAAATGTTTTCCTAATAAATATTTTGCGTAGTTTTGCTATGTTTAGCTAGAGGGCGTCACACACGCGCGATCTCAAAGTTTTTGTATGAAAACGTTCTCTATGTCCACTCTATAGTATACCTATATATTTAAATATCTTTGGTTTCCCAACTGTAGGGTCTTTCAACTGTGGTATTGTGGAGCTGGTGTAATATGAATTACAAATGGAAAGATATCTAGATATAAAGCAGAAGCCATTATTAACACCACATCGCCGTGTAGCGGCAGCGTAAGAATTCTCTTACTACCAGTATCCCATATCATGCCGCGGGTGTTGCGGGCCACAGGGGGAAGAAGGAAACTGAAACGTGTATCAGCGTGTTTTGTGAGGCACCTCCGATTTCCTGACTCCGGCCTGCTACTGAGAATTTCTTGACAGAAAATTCTTCTTTTTTTTTCATATTTGAACTATAGATGAAATAACTACATGTTTAAGTTCTACGTGAACGAAATCAATGAAAGTAATAAATGTCTAAACCTTTGTGTTGCCGTGGTCGAAATCTGCTACGATAATATCATCTTGGTGCTATTACCAGGTTTTGATTCTTGCAGACTGGCTGCAGACCGGACTTGGCTCAGTGCCGCCGTGCTCGGCGGCCGTCGCCTCCACTGGATAACGCTCACATAGAACCCGTGATCCCTTGTGAGTTCTGCACAGAATCCCTGCCTCTCAACCTCATCAGCCAACATCAGGTAACCTTTTTGTAATATTACTCATTTAATATCTGTACTCGCGAATTCGTTCGCATGGAATTTCGTAAATTATTTGTCAATATACCATGAACTATAAGAATGTTTACTTATATGATTGTTAAGCCTATTAATCCATTTATCAATGTAAGACTTTTTTAAAGGTTTTCTCATACAAAAATATAATTTCATAGGCAAAAAACTTATGTATGGGAAATATCCCGCTATGAAATCACCTTATTTAAAAATAATTTCTCCAGCACCACATCTTTGATGGGCTCAGGTTTCTCAATAGTATTATAAACACACCGACTTTTTAACTGACTTCAAAAAGGTGGAGGTACTCAATTCGACTGTATGTTTTTTTTATGTGTGAACCGATTTTGATGATTCCTTTTTTATTTGAAAACTGGTGCTTCTCATGTGGTCCCATATAAATTTGATCAAGGTCTGACCAGTAGTTTTTGAGTTATCCTTAATAATTTATATTGAAGTCGGTTGTACAAAATTTTTAATTTTACCACTTTTAAGATGAGTTTTTGCGGTGGGGGCTTGGGCACATACAATACGTTCGACACGTCTTTGCATATTTTATATAATGTACCCTCGATTTAGTAGTTATTGGTAAGTGCGACTGCTCGACTGACGGATCCCGGGTCGGGCCAAAAATAAGTTATTGGGTTTTTTTGTCGAGAAATTCTCAGTAATAGCCCGAAGTTTTGTATGACGGAGGATTTTATGACATAATATGTTTGTGTTCATCGACGTCGAAATCCTAGTTCATCCATCCATACCATTTGGATGATTGGCGGTCCACCACTGTGCGATTTAGAAGATGTTTTCTTCCTCGCACGACCTCCTTGTGGAATCGATTACCACCACCGATTTTTCCGAACCGATAGGACTTAGGGACATTCAAGAAAAGAGCCTACTCCCTTTTAAAAGGCCGGCAACGCATCTGCAATTCCCCTGGTTGTTCATGGGCGATGGTAGTTACTTACCATCAGGTGAGCCGCATGCTCGTTTGCCCCCTCACCTGTAAAAAAATATTTTTTTTATTTGCTCATTAACCACAAAATTGTTTTATACAATTTTAATGGTGCTGGCGGGTATCGGGAACTCCGTTTTTATTGTAATACTAGCTACCCATCCTGGCTTCGCCTGCATAGGATTTAATAATTTGTGTTGCGTTATTTAGATTTAAGATAATCAAAAACCTTTTACTTTATCTATTTTTGTTTTTTTTTTCAAAAATATCTCCAAGCACTTTTCATCTGTGTGTCAAGTTAATTACAATCGGTTCAGCCTTTCCGAAAATTTGCCCGGATAGACAGACAGACAGACAAAAATTTTAAAAATGGTTATTCATGTCTTCTTGGAAAAAAATGCAAATAACCCCTGCAGTTCAATATATTATATTACAGACAATCAATTCAATTTTATTTATATGTATAGATTAATTAATAATTTTCTGTTGCAGGAGCGCTGCGGCAGGGAAGCCAACTTATTCTTCCCCGACTGAATTCTGTCTTCCTCATAAAGACTAAGAAGAAATGTTATATTTTGCTATCTGTAATATTAATATCTTGTTTATAAAAGTTGTTCCTTCAGTACCAAATTTAATTTCTTTAGTGGAACTATAGTGCTCAAAATATACAATAATTTTGACTTTATATCTGATATACTCAATGATTATAATCTATAATATTGATGTTAATATAATGTGTTAGTCATAGAAAAACAACATTATATTGTATCTCATATTAAATAATTGTAGCTTTTAATGCAAGTAACTTTAATAATTTGTGTATAAAATAATAAATTTCGGATTGCAGGGACATTTTCTCCATGGCCAATTCAAACGCCGAGAAATATTAAAAAAAAAATGTGATTTTAAAAGCCTATATAAAAGATGATTTGTTACTGCATATCTTTGTAAGATACGGGTATTGTTCTATTAAAAATAAACTTTATTTCGCTCGCTCGAAATTTTTTAAATTTGATTTAGAACTAAAATTTATGTAATTTTAGTTCTAAATCTATGAATTTAACTTTAGAAACTTACAGAAATTATAACAACTATTGATTCCCATTTAAGAATACGTAAACAGTTTGTAATTTAAAAAAAAAAGTAGTTTCTTGTAATATCGTTTACTTTAATGGATGGAATTTAAATAAATAAATGAAAATGATTAAGAACTTGTGGCGGCGCTGTCGTCGCGCCGCAAGCGAAACGCACCAATGCCTAAATCACGCTGTCAAAGTCTTAAAGTACAGCGGTTTGGTCGGCGGGAGATATCTCCTTTGCCTTCTAGGGCCAAAAGCTTATTTTGCGTTTTGTTTTAGAATTTGCACAAGTATCGTGGTAGTACAGGGGCTAAGCACTCTCTGTAAGTTTCAGTACACGATCAACCCAGGTTCGATCCCCGCTGGCACCAATGAAATCGTTAATTGATATTTTAAATGCTGATTTACCACGTGCTCGGCGTTGAAGGAAAAGATCGTGAAGAAAGATATTTCGAATGCATACAAGTCCGCCAACATGCTTTGGGGTGCAGCGCGGAGGACACTTTCATGGCCTAAAACCCTCTCGGAAATGATTGGAGGCCAGTGGCCAGAAGTGGGACGTAAGTCGGTTGTAACTACAAACTTTTCCTCCCATTATTCAGAGTCTAACATATTATTCTAAACTCCCATTATTATAGGTGTAAGACAAACCTGATATGCTATTCTAGTGCATGCTTGCAGACTATATATATCATTGTTATTATTATTTAGACAAGTCCTTACAAACTAAAGTTTCCCCACAAACTTTTCCGTACGTGGTAAACGTCATTATGTACAACTTTTTCTGCCACCATAGCGGCGCCACTTTGCAATGAGGTTATAATATTTGACAGATTTCATTGTGGGGACACGTAATTGGTTAGAAAAGTGTAGACATGTTTATTTCTATTTCTAATCATATGTTAATTAGATTAGAACTAGATAATCTAAACTACGGATATGCCTAAAAGGAGCAGAATTAAATAAAAGTTAAAAATGTATTAAGGTTAAAAAACACAGCACTGAGGCATTGTTGTGTGTATATATAGGAATAACTTTTATTTAAAACGCTACTTTTGTATGATGATGATATTACTGTGTGATTTCCATGATAAATGAATCATCTCAGTCCCAACTGGCGACACCTGATGAGCGTAAGATTATTATCCTCAATTGCATTGAACTATTTTCATTGTGCCAGCGTCGAAAATCGAATACATGTTGCTCTTGCACTGAAGTTTACTCGGTATAGGTTACAGGAGAAATTCCATTAGGGGATAACTTATTTAATTTAATTCAGACTAGTTTAGATACGACTAGGATATCTAGAGAACAGTTATAGTCTGTTCACTAAGTGTCGGTACACCTAGAGGCGCACTTAATATTTTGCTTTTATTTTATAATTTTTTATTGTGTTTGTTAAATGTTTTTCTATTTCTTATGGTTATTGTAATAAAATGCAAATATAAGTAATAAACATAAGTTAGGTAGCAAAGAAACTTTCCGGCGTGGCGTTTCGTTTTAAAGTGCCAAATTCTCCTGCGGGTGTACACCGCACGAGGCGACCGTTGATGTCGCGGCGGCGCCTTTGACTAGATGCGGCACGTGCCAAGGTGGCGCGACACAAAGGCGACCGTATCTAAGCGAACAGACTATACCTGCCTTCTAGGTGTATAAATATAGATGTATAATTTCTACAATACCTATATATGTATGTATGACAATAATAGGTTTGTGTCAATTTTGTGATAATTTTTCCAAAAACACAAAGTTTCTAGTTATCTATTTTTATTTTAAAATGCTAAATATTATTTTTCGATTTTACTCCTTTTCCTCTTGAACAGTTCACAAACTGGCGTATAATATAAGTTATCACTGTGTTAGGCTGCGATTCCATCAGAGATGTGCGAGGTAGCTAGGCGGTGCGAGAACGCGTAGCGTAGTGCACATATAACACACTCAAGTAGCAACAGCCGGCCGGCTGCCTGCGCCAAGCCGCTATCTATAACCGGTTCCTTATTGTCCGCTTCTGTGTAAACAATGTACCCATAACTGCTAATATTGTATTTTTGATGTTTTTATAAAGTAATATATGTATAAACTAATTTCAACAGATTTCTCAAAAGTGTCTCAACATCTAGACAAACCCGTAAGGATTTTTGTGATGTTGTTTTGTTTATATTGTGCTTTTTTCAGCCCTCGAACACATCCCTCGCAACACATGTATATACAAAAACCTCGCTCCTCTGAGCCGTTTCCACTAGAGCTGCGATGAGCGAGTCTAGGTAAATGAGGTGATTCTATTGGTTCTTAACAAACACATCCCTCGCTACGCATTCTCGCACATCTCTTGTGGCCTAAGTCACTATAGACATGATTATTAAGTTAGATGTCACTCGCAGTTTTAATGGAAGGTAATGTTTTTATAATATTGTGGAACTTAAACCGGAGTTGTAATATTGTCGCAAAAATAGAACTTTATTGCGTTAGTAATAAGATTTGTTTTAATTTTGTTAAAATAGTAATTATGTGAAATAAAGCTTTCGTTCCTTTTTCGTATAAATCAATGTTAACATCGTTTTTAGCATGATTAATGATTACTGGTTTTCAATTGTACCGAGATACTATCGGATATGTATCAATGTAGTTTTATATTATATCTCATAGTTTAATTCAATTTACGAAGTCGAGCGGGCTTTCCCTTGTGGTTGAACGTGTAAAGTCCGCGCTTTCTATCTTGGCCAGACTGAAGTTGGCGCCAAGATTCTCTCCAAGTCATTCGCGCATGTACGAAATCCGATAATGGCGGCCTTCCGAGATGTGCCACTTCATATTCGCTCCTAAGATTGCTTAAGAAGACAGTTTTTTTAATAGGTTAAGGTTGACAAGTGAGCATACATTCCACCTGATGGTAAGTGGTTGCTGTGGCCCATAGACATCTACATCTATCCTCGTTTGTGAATCAAAATTCAGATGCGTTGTCAGCAGTGAGGACTAAGATGGGATGCCTCTTTTCCAGTAAAAAGGGTCACCGGTTCTCTACACTTACCATAGGAAACACAGCCGTATCAAGCTGCCATATTACGGTGGTATTCTGTGAGAGCGTGGCCTATCCCCGGTCGAGTCAACCCATTCGTGCTACAACTATACAATTAATATAGCTGCAGCATAGCTATACCACGGTTGACTTGTTTTGTTTCTATTAGTTATAGAATAAATTATAATTTTTTTTTATAAAGTTTATTATGAATATAATATAGTCTATACACGATATTGGTGGGTAAAAATATTTCTTTTAATAACCCCAAAATAACATACCTTTAAAATTTTCAATAACATCTTTAATGCACATCATCATAATCACTGTATTAAAACGACAGTTTGCATTTATACACCAATTTAAAAAAGGAGCAATGCAATTAACCGTAAGCAATATAATCGATAGCAACGATAATTTACGTAATTATAGCCGCGCAGTATGCGTATTCATGTCTAGTATTAGTTACCGTCTACACTCCCCACTTTTTGTCACCATTTTGTTCTAAAAACTATATCAGCGTAGCCACTCGCGACTAACTTCAGCCCGGCCAAGATAGAACGCGCGGACTTTACATACACATTGCGATAGTGTGCGTGTGTGACGGATTTAACAGTTGCGAGCGTGCGTCTCTGATTTCTGGTGATGTTAGTACTGTTAGCCTTTTTGGCTTTTACAGCCTCATCGGTCTCAGAGCTGTAAATAGGGTGATTTTATATTATTCTCAACGTTACTTGCGTAACGATGTTCACCTACGACAGTTTAAATTGCACATAGATGAGTTATCTAAGGGGTCTCGGCTCTGACGGCTAACTCATATCGTTCGATGTTTTGGGACGTGGGGGTGCGGTGTGTACGCGGTGTGGAGGGGTGTGCGGCGCGCCGGCCTGCGGACTCGCTGCGTCCCGTCCGTGGTCCTAACGGTGTTTGTTACACTAGGCGAGTGTGTAGTGTTGCCGTTGACGGGCTGGCGAAATTTGGGTCGTCCGATACCTGGGGATTCAAGCTAAACGTTGCCTCCGGACACTTTCTGTAACGTTTGGAGTCGGAGCGAACGTGCCGTCGTCGCTAACAACCATACCCGCTTTAGGTCTCACGCACACTGACACGTATACAGATACAAAAAAGCCACTCGACTTCGTGAATTTCAAGATCTATAATTATAATATATTCACTTTATATAGCCACAGTGCAATTATACAAATAAGTGCGACTAAATTTAATATAAGCCATTATAACGATTCAAACATTTAAAAATATATCATTGTCTAGGTATACGTAAATGTAATAAATATATGTAAGCGTTATATAACATGATATACGAAGAACTTGTCAAGTGATAATAGACATTATTGCTATACATGATCTCACTTGGGTCTATATCTACTTCTAGTGATAATACTGTAACCCTTTCGCTGTCCCGTGCACTACATAATAGG